GCGGATGCTGTACATGACGCTCCAGCCTTTGGGGATTTGGTAGCCCTGCAGGGGGGAGGGAGAAGAGGGGAGGAGAGGAGCGTTATGTTCCTGTGCAAGTGGCCGTGCTAGCAGAGGGGGAGCACAGGGAGCCTGGGGACAGTCCCACCACATTGCCCATCTGCTCTGCAGCTCCTTTTCTCCCCAGCCCAGCTAGGACCCGGGGAGGCTGCTGGGTGCCGCCTTCCCCTGAGCTACACTGAAAAGCACCACCACAGTGCCAGACACGGGGGGCTTGCAGGCAGCAGCTCCCTAGCAGCCCGCCGGCGTGCAAGGCACTTACATCCAGCTCGAAAGTCTGCAGAGCTGTCCTGTAGCCTCCGGAGACTGGGGGCAGCACCCGCAGGCCCCTCCGGCGGGGCACGGGGCTGCGGGGAGCCTTCCTCCGCTGGGCTTGGGGGCTGGCGCTGGTCCTCGCGAGCATCTTTGGCCATGGGGCAGAGAAGTGTCTTCTCGCTGTCCCTGCGCTGGGTGGCCAGGGTGTCCAGGCAGGGTCCAGCAGGGCAGCACTCACACTGCTGGTACAGCTCCTGGGACACCAGCTCCTGCCTTATTTTTTCAATCACTGCAGGGTGCTTCAGTAGCAGGAGGATCAGAGAGGTGCTGGCACTAGCCGTGGTGAAAAAAGCAGCGAATATGAGCTCAATCGCTGACTCCTGGGAGAGGAAGGAAGGTGACAAGTTTGAATACCATTTTAAACTGCTTGTGATTCAGGCGGTTCTCACCTTTTGCAGGTTTTGTCCCTGTGCAGAGGGCCCTGCCCCTCCTCTGCTCTCCACAAACCTGCACCCACCCTGGGCTGGCAGGGACCAAAACCTTGCTCTTCTATTTCTGTACAAACTGGACATCCACTTGCCAAGCGACTGATGCAGAAACACAGCTGAGATGAGTACACACCACCTCCAACGAAGCTCTTTTGAGCTCTCCTCCCAACATTTACAAATTTTAAAGAAGCATTTTAACATGCCTTTTAGCATGCTGAGTGAAGTTCATTTCCAGCACTATGCTTTTCACCTTTACCTGCCAATTCCCCTTTTTGCCCAGCTTTTACCTTTCTGCCCAGCCAGGGGTTATGAGGCTGTGTGTTTACGCATAAATCCTAGATGCGCTGGCAGCTAAAATGGGTTGCATTTAATCCATCTCCAGTCATAATCAACCGTTTGCTTGTCTGTGAGGGGACTCAAACCAACGGAGTCGAAAGCAGAAAGACCCCCTGCTACAGCAGGTCAGCAGGGAGCTCTCCCGCAGGGACGCACACACCAGGCAAAGGACTTGCTCGCTTTCCAAGCTTTACAGCCCAAAGCAGAGCAGTGTTCCGGATAGCTCCGTAGCGGATGTGTCCATGTCCAGTTAGGAGGTTAACCAGCCCGGGCAGACCACAGCACTGTCAAGTCCTCAATATGTGCCCTATTGCTGCTCATGGACCCCCACGCAGCCTGCCAGTCTCCTAGGGACTGTCTGTGGGGTCTGTATGGCACAGCACACACCAGCCTGCTGCGGGCTGTTTGCAGCACCCTGTGATCAACTTTTGGAAATTGTTTTCCCAAAGTTAAGGGTTGCCCAGAACTGGGTCATGGAATGCTACATCTCATGACAGCAAACATAATGCTCAAATTCACAGCACTGTCTGAAGGTGCCAGTGGTTCTGCAGCACTGGGCTGGGAGCGCTGAGGCCAGAGACCAGACCCAGAAGCCATGGGAGAAGCCCGAGGGAGGAGCACAGGGAGCTGCCATCCTGCGAGGGGCTGGGACCTGGCTGGCACGACCAGCACTGACAGCTCCAGCCCCGGGGCAAAGCGGAGCAACACCCCTGGGGAAAGCAAGCGGTGTCCTTTCACAGCTGTGCGTCTGGATTTTGAATTGTTCTGACACAACTGGTTTCTGGAGAGGTGAAGCCAAAAACACAGGGGAGGGCACCTGAGGCCTGAAGGTACCTGGAGCCACGTCTGGTGAGGTCAAGGGTAATGTAACAAGGATCACTCTTTGCTACCGTCCCCAGCGCTGTATACTGGCTGGACTAGAAGCTTTTGCCAAAGTGCAGCTCTCCAGGGCATCTCTGAGCTGAAACAAAACCTCTGAAATAACAGATCCCTGTCGACCCCTATCACACCTCCTGCAGGCGTTAGCAGGAAATTTTACATTCACAAGGCAGCAGACCCAGATGAAAAGAAATCTCTCAGTTCCACCACTTGCACTTAAAACCCAAGACATTCCAACAACACGCAAGGAATTTAGGGCAGGCTCTGCGATTTGAAACAACAGCCCTTCTGACTCCCTGCCTCGACCCCTGACAGTGCTGCTACAGAAGCTGTACACCAAGCTGCTGACCTTCCCTCCCTGCTCTCACAAGGCCAATGTAACCGGTGACCGGGAGGCAGCATCCTCCCACAGCTTCACCAGTATCGTCCCTGCGCTACAGCCCGACTCCCCGTCTGGGGAGGCAGGACCGGCAGCATTACGGTTCCACCCAGCCAGCCAGAGACAGCACTGTTACGTAGGATGGGGAGTTTTTAAATCCTTCCAAAGTTTTAAATGTTTTAAAACAGTACTTTTAGCGAAGTGATACCTCTTTGATGACCTTTACACTTCAAGGGTCCTGCGAGATCATTCCAGCAGTGCAAATCACAGTGTATTTAGGAAAAATTTCTGGGAAAACAGTTTTTCAAAATCCCTTGAACAGAAAGCAAATTAGCAGCGACTTCTGTGGCAGCGTTTGCGGTGTCTCTCAAAGTCAGATATATCCACGGCTCTGAGACAGCTTTGGACTATTTACCCAATTACAGCATTTCACTGGATGAGAGCTCTATACTGTTTTCTTAGAGCGGAGAATACTGCCCCAACTGCAAGCACAGGCAGTTTGGTTTGCAAGTCATTTTGTTAAATACAGACCAGGTAAAAATTTTCTAACTATAAAGGTACAGGACAGCATATGAAAATATTATTATTTGAATCAGCTGGCCCAAGGTCATTGCCATGTCACTCCATGTGAGGTTTAATATCTCCTTATTCCATTTGTGGTCAGAGCCAGGGACATGATAAGAGATCATGTAGTTATTCATGTGTAATATCCATGTGAATACTAACAGAGATTAATCAATCAATCACATTTTGAATCTGGCAATTATTTAAAAAAATAATTATATGAAAAAAATACATTCTATTAGAATTAATAATATAATAAATAATTATAACAAAATTACTTTAAGAATATATGCTGGTTCTAACTGCATCTCACAGTCGCTGTAAAGTCTTTGAAATATTTTTGATTTAGAGATTACACTTTTACAAAATATTTATAAAATATTAGTCTTTAGATAGTTTTCTTTAAATACCTAAATAAATGCTAAAACTATGCATGCTCAATACTTTTAAACTATATTAAAATACTTTTAAACTACATTCTGCTGCTGTACCCATGCAAAACTGCTTCAAAACTTGTCATATAAATGCAGTGTTGTCTGTCATTCACTGACACCAAGGGACCTGGAGCTATGAACAACATGGTACTAATGACAATTTTTTCCCAAGGCCATTGGCAAAATACTCTTCATATTCAGCTGGTAGTTTTGGCTCAGTGAGGACCACTGTGTCCATCCCTAAGTCACAGTGATGCATCATGTTGCAGCATGGCAATCCACAACCTAGACGATCTCACTAACGACAAGGTGATAGGGAATGACCCAGAATCCACCATTCCATCCCTGGACCTGCTTTGACACACCGTCTCAGAGGTTTCTGGGCTCGCAGCCCCGAGGAATGCGGTGACATGGTCTACAGGCCGCGCTATGCCAGGTGCTGCGGGATGTTTGCGGAGCATGTGATTAGCTCCAAATATTTCCAGGACAGGATCTTGGGGGCTACCAAGTGCACACTGACAGACAGAGCCCTAGCACAGCCACATAACTCTACCAGCATCCTAAGGCAGGCTGAAGCCTGGTGGCCGTGAAATGGAAAGGTAGAAGAGGCTTTTATTCCTTTTTTAAATGTCAGCTCTCTTCTAACACAGAGACCAGTCCCACAAGAGCGTATGAGCATGCCGAGCCCAGGCTTTCTTGCTCGCACTGGAGATGGTGTCCTCAGAGTTGGTAAGCGGAGGGCCAGAGCCAGCGGCTGGGGGGGGGGGCCCCCACAACCCTCCTCCTGCCCCTCAGCCCAGGTCTCTCAAAGAGCCACCAAGTCGGAAGGGACACAGCAAGGGGGAATTCTCCTTACCTTTAGCTCCTGCATGGTGAACTCTTTGCCGTGCTCCTTGGCACTGTTTATTATGAAATCCAGAGCGTCGCTGTGATCTTCCGGGCTGTTTCTCTGCAGTTTTTCCTGTATAGCCTTCTCCATAAACTCATGTAGCATGTCCCGTGCTTTGATTCCCTGCGGGAGGCAGACACAGTTCAGGAGAGCCCTAGGAACCGCCCCCCTCTCCAGAGAGAGCAGGGGACCCCAAGTGTGGCAATCCTTAATCCTGGGATCTGTAACAGCAAGAACTGTTTAATCTGTCGCCCAGCCCCAGAGCCTTGCAAGAGGCAGCAGTTTGAGGGGAACTGCTGCAAATTCTGTTGCCTTGCTGTCGTGAGTCAAATCGACAAGTCCTAAGAACCACTCTGAGAGGAAAAGCCAGTAGGAGACCCACGGTACCAAGTCCAGTGGCTTCTGCACTGAACAAACACATGGTTGTGTCAGGTCCAAAAGAAGCTTGTCCAAAGGGACAAGAAGAGGTAACTTATTAAAACTGCATCCGAGCAGCAAGGCACACCTGAGCCAGGAACAAATGAGCGGCTTTACCGGGGTATAGTAGATAGAGACACAGTCATCACACCCAGCTCATCTCCAGCTGCACTGCACGCCCATGCAGCAAAACATTCAGGTAAGACCTCAGCAAGTCAAGCGACCAGCAATCTCTTTGCAAAGTGGGATGGATGGAGTCAGAGAGTGTGTGGCCCCGCATCAAGATGCCTCCTGCAAAAGCCAAAAGGACCAGAGATTTGGGACGAAAAATGGCCAAGACCAGATGTTGGGAAGAAGACACAAAGGCCGAGATTTGAGGTGCGGAGGACTGGACAAAGGAAACGGGGCTGGGAGCAAGAGGAAAGACAAGGGGACCTAAATGCAGGTTAAAGAGGTTGGTCTGGGCCCAGACAGGCTGCGGCTGACCTGAGAGGGGGCAGGGAGGGATAGGACGGGGGGTGAAAGCTCACACTGGTGACAGCCTGCGAAGGGAAACTGGACAGGGCGAACAAGAGCTTTGAACCAGTGGAGAGGAGCAACAGGGAGGCTGGGGGAGACCTGGGACTGGCTGGGTGAGGTGATCTGGTGGGGCAGAGCTCCCAGTGGAAACAAGAGATCAGGCAAGGCCTGGCTAAAAGGGGCAGGAGACTTGAGCTGTGGTAAGGGTGAAGAACCCACAGCCAGAGGAGGGAACGCAGACTGAAACGGGAGAGGAGGGGTGGGACACAGGACCAATACCTAGAGCAGGAGTGTGGGGAGGCAGGTGAAGAAGGGCAGGGCAGCAGGGAAGAAACTGGAGGTGAAAGAGGCAGAGGAGATTGTCCCTCTGCCATGCTGCCCTCCAGCACCCTTCACTGTCTCTCTCTGCCGCTGGGGGACAAGGGACCAAGGACCATAAGAGGGCCTCAAGTCCTTGGGGTGCCCTGCAGTGCACTGTGCCCACCTGCCTTCGTGCTCATGCCCACAGACCCCTCTGCTGTGGGCTGACATGAGTCCAGGCAGGATGAGATGGAACAGGACCAGACATGATGGACTAACTAAAGCCAACAGTGGCAACATACAGGCTGAGGGAGGAGAGGAGCCCTGCGCTGCACAGTGAGCTGGAGCCAGTGCCCAGAGGTGCTGGAAGTCAACCATGAGCAGGCAAGAAGTGCAGAGAGGAGGAGAGACAGCTGGGGTGGGCAAGGCACCAGGCCTTCAGCACTGGAACAGGGTGCTGCAGATGTCCTGGCCCATCGAACGTGCCCCTTGGTGGGCCTGGGGACAGGGGGTCTGTGCTGCTGGGGCCGGCTGCTCTGGCCCCAGGCAGAAGAAACGGGGCAGGCGGCAGTACCTTGCGCAGCCCGCTGAAGGGTATGTTGAGGGGCAGGGAGAAGAGGTTCTCTACCAGCTGCTCAAAAGTTTTGGCCAGGTCCTGGGACTGCTTTTCCTCCAGGCGGAGCCCCAGCAGAATCCGAGCTGCAATGCGGAAAGTTAAGGTTTTAGCGGAGGAATAAACTGCGATGGAGCCCGGCTCCATGCACCAGCCCCGCAGCTCCCAGCTCACAACCTTCTGGATCCGCGGCAGGTAGCTCTCCAGGGCAGCGCGGCTGAAGACTCTGGCCAGGATCTAGGAGGAGAAGGGGGGGGAACAGAGGCAGGCGGTTAAGGAGGGGGGTCCCACGCGCCACCGAG